AAACCTTGTTTGTTACTTGGAAGTAATTCTCACTGGTTGGATACACATGTCATGACAAGAAACCCTATGTGATTTCTATGTTGTGCAGTTTTTATCCTAGATGTGCCTGACAGACAATTCAGTGGTTTTTCCTTCAGCATGGCTTCCACCCTCCTCACTCAGTCCTCCCACTGTTGAAATGTATTTTTATTTATTTTATTTTATTTATTTATTTAAACATTTTTATGCTGCCCCATTCGCCGAAACCTCGGGGCGGCTCACAACAATACAAATGTATCCCATCAACTACCATATCTGAAATTCAATTCTGTGCTGGACGGATGGAGTAGCTCCTGCAGCATGGACATTCTTTCCAGAGGACTCAGTGGTAGCATCGTGGAAATCACTATACTGGGTTTGGACAATCAGAGAAGCCATGGTGAAGTGTGGAAACCATGGAATGGGCCATTGTTTCTTATCATGCTTTCTAAAAAAATAAACATACCATGGTGAAACACCACAACAGGGTTTGGAAGACACACAATCCTATGGCAGAAACGCCCAGGACTTTTCATGTCATGCAGACCCACCCATTATGTTGACTGAGGCTTACTCCTTAATAAGCATCTTAGTTTTGCAACCGGTAGATTTCTACTGGGAAATAATAGGTCTATTTCTGAATTTTTCAGTTATTTTTTCAATATAATTTTTATTACTGTGGTGCATGCAGACCTATATAAGGAGTGTTTATATTTAGTGGACTGAAAGTGTGCTGACCATTTTGGAGGTTTGCACACTTTTAATAGCACAAAAAGGCTTTAAGGGACTGATTTCCTTACTTGATATAGCATCTAAATATTACATAATGACAACCCTCCTCAAAGAACCTATTAGGGTGCATTTCACTGTCATTAAGTTGTCCTTGGTTCCATGACTACTAAGATTAAACAGTACATATGCTTTAAATCAAAGTGAAGGGAAGCCCAGATTATGTCTCTTTTCCCAGGTCTGTAATTCAGAATCAAAGCACTTACCTGAAATTGCTCTTGAAGATCATTTTAGAGGAATCCCTATATTTGCAGAGGGTTGAATCTTAACCTAGGAACACAATTAGTTCTAGCATGGGCCTCCTGATAATTTGGAGGTCTGTGTCTCTGGCCAAGTATACCTGTTTGCTCAAGTCCATCGCTACTGTAGAAGACAAAGGTAAATCACAGAAAATGCTCAATTTTGTTTAGTTCATCATTGCCCATCTTTTTGTCAGTTGGCTTCAGAATGAAACTAGAAGTAAATCTAACACTAGATTTGTATTATCAAAAATATTTCACATTAATTGGCACAGGTGTGTGTGAGATGGAATCTACTCCAAAACACTCCCAGTTCAGTGTTTTGCTCTACTGCTGGTTGCAGTCCCAGCAACTGCTGCTGGTTGTCATTTTTTCCACAGGTGTTTCCAGAATATTGCATCCTTACCTGGGGGGTTTTCTACACATGGCATCCCTACTTTCAGTTTTGACAGGTTATTTAGTCAGTGATGTGGCACAAGTTTTGCTTCAGTGTCTAACCAATATTTCAGCCAGTCTTTTCTTTTCAAGCAGGGAAAACACAGCATTTATTTATGAAAGGGAAATATAATTTGATTTCGTTTTGTGTATTTTTCATACTTTGTCATATCACAGGATATCACCTAGAGGTTATATAATGGAAAAGCAAAAAAAAAAAAAAAAAAAAAGCTGGGGGGTGGGGGAAGCTGAGATTAGACATAATGGAAAAGTGTTAGATACTGTTTTAGAGTACTTCTGGGAGGAAAACAGTGGCCAACAGCCACCCAGAGGTACACCACTGCTGTCAATTTTGCTGGCTTTCACGTCTATATTCTTAAAACAGCGAACCCATCTTCAGGGCAAAGATGCAGTGTTGCAGGGGCAAGAGATTTTTACACAGCATTAATTTGTACATATTTTAACTGCTAAGGCTGAGTTAACTTACCATTACTTACTTTCTTCTTAAAGGAACAAAACTCAATTTTCGTAACCAGAAGCAGCTTCAGTCAACAAAACTTAGCTGTATACCGATGTTATGCTACCTAGTTAATAACTTCTAAATGTCCTGATGTGTTCCAGTCTAATGAAATTCTCTGGTTCTTAGCCAGACTAGTGGAGAGATAAAAATTAAATAGTCTTCCTGAAACATGTATAAATAAACTGTGTTACAGGTGAAAACCCATGTGATGCAGTGATTAAGAATGCTGGACTGGGAGCTGGAAGACATGGGTTCTAGTCCCCACTCAAATCCGGAAGCTTGCTATATGACATTGGTCCAGTCACAGACTCTCAGCCTAACCCAACATATAGATTTATTGTTCTGAAGATAAAATGAAGAGGAGAAGGAAAATCATGTCAGCCATTTTGGTTCCTTGTGAGGAAAAAAAAGTGGGATATAAATATAATCAATAAATAAAGAGGAAGAGAGTTAGGTATAAATGTTATAATTGACTGTCAAATGTCTTGCCTCTTTGTAATCTCTGGAACTTGTGAGAATTGATAGTTCCATGTTATACTTTCCCCAAATCTCTTTTCCTCTATTGAATGTAGTGATAGACAAATTCTCCTTGGCCTAGCTTTTGGAAGTAGCACCATATTTATTAAATTTATTGGATAGTACTTTAAAAAACTTCATCTAAGATGTCATCTACACTGATGACATCATGATAGATACGTTGGCTATTGTTACTTGGGAACTATTTCTACTATAGCATTTCAAGCAGAAATCTCTTTCCATACAACACACAGTTGGATGCCCTTGAGATGCTATTCATACTATAGTATCTCAAGCAGAAATCTCTCTCCATTCAACACTCAGTTGGGGACAAAAGTAGATTTTACATTTGCATGATAGACAGATGGCAGAGCTATAGATGATCTTCTATCTTGCAAACCATGTTATTATTGCAAAGGTAAACATGACTGTCAAAAATGGGTTCTGTTGAAAGACTGTAGATATTATGGAATGTCACCTCCATTCTAGAAAATTATTCTATGAAACAAAAGAGGAAAGGAGAACAACTCTGAAACAATGATCAGATAAATTATTAAGAAGCTACATGGAAGGAAATAGTCAAAAGATAAGTAGAATGCAAGGGAGATGACCAGAATTAGTTACTCATATTTGGAACAAAAATCCACAAGGTTCTAAAAGTCATCTTACTGTTACTGCAACCTGCATAGGAGGAATCAGGAAGGCTTTTGTACGAAGACATTTTATTTAAGCACTTTAAGACAATTGAAAGGAACAAAACCTTTTTATTTAAATGTCATTTTAATTGTTGAATTTATTTATTGATTTTATATTTATGCCGGGATGTCTCCAGATTTTTATGTATTTTTATGTAATTGTATAGTTATTTATTTGTATTGGAAGCCGCCCTGAGGCTTTTGCGAATGGGGCAGCATACAAGTGTTCCAAATAAATAAATAAATAAAATCTGTCCCTCATCTAGATGCTGGAGTAAGTAGGAAGAGATAATCCCTAACACAGTGTACCTAAGCCTATTGCTTTGTTGTTGTTGTTATGTAGCATCAAGTCGTCTTTGACCTATGGTGCCTATGAATGAAAACCTTCCAAAATGCCCTGTCCATGACAGCTCCATTCAGCTCAGTTCAAGGCTGTGGCTTCCTTTATGGATTCAATCCATCTTACATTTGGTCTTCCGTTTTGTCCTCTGCCTTCAACTTTCCCTAAAAATGATTGTCTTTTCCAGAGAGTCTTGCCTTCTCTTGATGTGTCCAAAGAATCACAGTGTTGTCATTTTTGCTTCTAGGGAAAGTTCTGTTTGATTTGATCTCAGACCTACTTGTTTGTCTTTCTGTCAGTCCAGAGTATTTGCAAAGCTCTCCTCCAGCATCAGTTTTCTTCCTATCAGCTTTCTGCACATTCCAGTTTTCACACCCATAGATTGTGAGTAGGAATACAATAGTTTATATGATCTTGACCTTAATCTCCATTAAAACATCCTTACACTTGATGATTTTTTCTAGTTCATTAATGCCTTTCCAAGTCTCCATCTTTGAAATTTTTTGGCTACACTCTCCCTTTGAACTGACATCTGAGCTGAGGTATGTGAAATCTTTCAAAATTTTGATTTCCTCATTATCAACTGTAAAGTTTTATAATTCTTCTGTGAACATGATTTTTTAATTGCTAGTACTTTCTCTTATATAAGAGACTACCAAAACGAAGTGCAAAGTATACCAATTGGGATCTGAAGTATGTGTGAAGCAGGGATAAGAATCATGCCACAAAGATAAAATTTATTTTAAAAAAAGAATCATGCCACAAAGGAGATGCAAATAGCCTTCTGAACCCCTTCTACAGCAAAAGATCCTTTGTACTTTTGATGTCTTTTGACAACTCACTTTCTGACAGCTGTCAAGAGCAAGCAAAGTGGAGGGAAAAGTATTTGGGAATGTCTTCAGGGCAATGCCAATGGTTCTTTTCCAGTGGGAGAAAGTACCTCCCCAACATTGCCCCAGACAGGGGTTCAAATCCTGCATGTGCACAACTGCATCGTGTGTGTGTGTGTGTGTGTGTGTGTGTGTGTGTGAGAGAGAGAGAGAGAGAGAGAGAGAGAGAGAGAGAGAGAGAGAGAGAGATCATGTGCACATGCAATTTTTTTTAAAGGTTGGGCAGAGCCCATGGCACTTTGAAGAGACTGCCTGATAACATTGAAAGCTCAGGTATTGACAGGGCATATTAGGATCTTTTGATAGGGACATGTGCATATAGAAATATATTTCCCCAACCGAAAGCATGGGTAGCCCTGTCAAAACCCCCATTTTAATAGGAAGCCTGAGCTTTGACAGCTAGCTCTCAAAACTCCATGCCTGTTAAAGGAGTGGCTCCCATGTTCTTATTTTCCTAAGAACCTAGAATCTCAGAAAAGGATGGGAAAGATGTGGGCTACTGAGAAAAGTCATGCCCAGCCATTAAAAAAAAAAAAAAAAAAAAATAGAAGCTCTCACCACCAGCAGCGATGATCTACTGACCAGTCTCTTTCACAAGCAAAGATCATTTGGAGTTTTGCCATCTCTTGACAATTTATCATTTGTCAGCTGTTGGGAAATGCAAAGTAAATAATAACCCATGATGAGTCTGATCATCTTTCGGAAACACTATGGCTTTTCCCCCTTAACAGCACATACCATGTAGCTTTTCTTTAGAGTGGGTTGACATGTTGTGCAAACCCGCCCAGACATAAAGATGGTGTTTCAAGGTGGTCCATCACTGACACTAACAACCATTTAATCCATGGATGAGATTCTTAAGCTTTTGCATGCTCAGATGCTTTCAGATGAGAGAGAAATTTCATCCAAGAAAATGATGTGGATATGTTTAAGTCATATTTTGCATCTTGCTTAAGCTATCTGGAAAGATCAGTTTGCAAATCCTGGGATGGTTAAATCAGTGTATCAAGGAACACTGCTGGTGATATATTACTATTATTATAAATTATCATTAGTTGCCTTCTCAAATTATAGAGAAAAAAAATTGTCTCCTTTGATGAACACTAATCTGATGACATTGCAGATCTTGTTCCATTTCCAAAAGCTTTATTTCTAACCTGTATGTCTACAGAACTATCCCTATTTAAAATAAGAGAAAATAGTCATTTCCAAAGTGGTATAAAGACAGAAACTCCTCAGTTCTATCTCCTGGGATAAGGAGGGCCTCTTCTATGTCTGGGGCATGGAGAAGAATACAAAGAAGGGGGTGGAGTAATTAGTCCCCTAGAAGACAATATAGGAAACTGTGGGGACGTGTCTCCTCTGGCGAGCACAAAGATGCCTGGTGCTACAAAGTGTATTGTGCTAGGAAACTGCTTGTCTCTGAGGAAAATCCTGGAAACAATCCATCCTGAAGAGGTTAGGAGAGGAATGTGGAGCTCCTGGGAGCTTTTGTATGGATTGTTTTTCCATGAACACAATTTTTTCTAGGTGGCCCCAGGAGCAATACCCCTCCTGTCTTCCAAAGGGGTTCTATCACACTATGCTGCTGGGAAAGGCGAGCCAATATTTAGTACAATAGAGTCTTACACAATACATGATTGTAGTCCCTTTTCATGTGCAGAAATAGAGGTTTGACCCTAACAACAAGTGGCAACCAAAGACGAAGGCCACTGTAGCCTCATTGACCAGGGAAAACCCATACTTGAACCCACTCTGTCAGAAACCCACAAAGACTATGGGGAAATGACAGCTGGGCCTTATGGGAAACTGGTCCAGAAGAGTCTCACAAAATTAAAACTCAGAGGCTGTAATTCAGCCTCTGAACTCCCATTGAAATTTCGTCTGAGTGAAGACTGGTTTTGGTCAATATGATAAAATGATAAACACAGTGATGTGTTTTATTGATGTGAATATATGAACTATATGTATCTTAAAACAGTTACTGCACTATGCTTATGGAATTTAAGCTATTAGAATAAGCCCCTGAAATGTCAGATCTCTTCTTCTCTTCAAAGATCCTGTTTTGACTTTTTATAAAAACCTATTCACATGCATTGTGAGCACCCTTTTATTTACTTTTAAAGTACATTATCTAAATGTTTTGCATTTGCAATTCTTATTTCAACTGTTACAGAAAATATGTGCACTGATCGAAAACCTTGAAAAACACACAGGAGAGCAAGCTAGAGTGCTTCTCGCTTTCCAACCATTCTCTGAAGTACCAGGGGCCAAATGCTGCAGAAACATAATGCATCGCTCCCAACCCTAACTATCTCAGCATATATGTGACCAAAGAATGTGGCAGCGCTCTCACACATAGATATCTTGGAAATTTTGACCAAACTGCTAGGTGGTAAAGGGAATTAAGCATTATGCAAGAGTGCTTCCAGATAAAGGGCTGCTATTGCTAACACTCAAGAGCCATTCTGCAGCTATTCCTTCAGTCTCTCCTTAACAGATTTTCTGCAGTAAGGAAAAAGATGGAAGAAGCATGGGAAAAATTCATAACCATCATATCTTGAAGACAACTTTGTTTGAACTACCCCCATGCATTTTTATGAATAATAGCCCTGTCTGGAAGCACTTTTTATTTTTGGTTTGCTATGCTTTAAAATTTTCATCCTTAAGGGTTTTCCTTCTTTCATTATGGGATGAAATAATTTATGTGATCAGATCCTTGATATTTTAATTTAGTTCTGCCATTTTGATCTGGAGGC